TTCCTGAATCTCCCTGAGATAAGTCTGTTATCTATGTTATTATTGTTAGCTACTGTGTTATCAGTCCCTGACTAATCATGACCCCATGCACAACCAAAATAATGCTGCCATCCATCACCTGTTGTGGATCAGAAAGTTGTGATCCATGCAGTTTTCATTGTCTGATTTTCAGGCCTATCTTTTTTTTTTTTAGCTAGTCATAGTCTGGAAGCTCTAATGAAATGGTTTCAGTATCATATCAGCATGCAATCCACCACTACCAGTGAGGGAAAAGTGGCTACACATAAAGTGCATAAAGGCTGGGAATCAGATTAGAATTTTTTATACTGAACGTAAACGTTCTGTAACTGAACCACCAATGCCTCATCAACCAACCAACCAACCAACCAACCAGACAGACAGACAAACAAATAAACAAACAAACCCACGGCCATTAAGTCTCCTCCAACTCTTAGTGGCCCTAGATAGTGTTCCCAAGGTGGTTAATCTTTATAGGAATAGAGAGCCTCAATGTCCCCCTTGAGCACCTTGCAGATTTGAACTGCAAACTTGGTGGTTACTATTCCAGTGCTTTCCTGATGCCACGGCCTGTGCTTCATAAACAGGTGTCTGTGTATCTACAGTGGTGATTCAGAAGAAGTAGAATGCTTACTTTCTATTTGGGAGGCAGTAGTTTAGTTCCTACCTGGCCAAGGCACCTCATATGCAGTTAGGACCTGGTTGTTAGCGGGGTGGTTGTGTGTTGCTATTATGCTACCCCAGTTTCAGTGGAGCTTCTAGACAGACTAAGAAAGGTCTGGCGATCTACTTAAGCCGATGAAAACGCTATGGATCACAGCTTTCCACCATGAAAGAAAGCTTAGTCAAGGCCAGGTTCAGGCATCCAATAGGAAAATAGTGATCAATTCATTTGAGGCCATAACTCATTTGAAGTAAATCTCATGTCCAAAACATGAGCTTCTCTCTTCATGACAGCTATCCCTCCTATGAGAAAGAACCCAGGAGCAATCTGATGGGCAATCCCCTAAACGCACTCCAAACTCCTTGCCACGGAGTAGAGTCTGGCACATTGCAGCCCTATAGGACAGGGTATAAGTGCCCCTGTGGCTTTCCAAGACTGTAACTCTTTGCGGGAGTAGAAAGCCTCTTCTCTCTCCCATGGAGCAACTGGTGGTTTTGAACAGCTGATCTTGTGGTTTGAAGCCCAATGCAGCATCACTATGCCACCAGGGCTCTCTGGGCTTTGCCTATTACATCCATTTTGTAGCTGAGGTATCCTAGACAGTTGGTTGTCTAGGGTAACTAATTGGAAGAATGACAGAGACAAAAACCACTGTGTCTGTGTCCTTAAGTCACCCCTTTCAGCTAGGTTTCCCCCAAAGGGGTGAATACTAACTATCTGTTTAATAGAACTGGCTCGGAGGCAGCTCATCCCTGCATGGCTGGCCCTTCTCTCTGCAGTCATTTTTCATGGGTAAGAATTCAGGACTTTGTGTCTCTCAGGCAGTGAGCAGCCTCAGCCAGCTGGACACTACTGTTCGCTGCTTTTCCTCCAAGTGACCTCACTGAAGTAAAGGACTAAACGTAGGCACGGATTCTCATATTGCTCGGGTGCTTCCATGGAGACAGACTTGTTATCACTAACAGCCTGTGCTTACCAGACAAGAACAGTAGAGTAGAAAAAAGGGTTTCTGAAACTAAATCTTTATAAGAGTAGAAAGCCTCATCTTTCTCCCTTGTAGTGGCTGGTGGGTTTACAAATTACTGACCTTGTGATTAGCTCCCCATGGAGTAAGGAACACATTCTGCCAGCAGGGCTCCTGGAGTTTGAGAAGGGGTGTTGAACACAAAGGAAGAGGCTTTAGAAAGTTTCTCTTAGGAAGACCAAACATAGAAGGCAAATACATTCCCTAACAACCAATAGCGTGGATCTAATTTAAGAAAATTAGAGAAATGGAATGAATGCTATGGACCCCGAGGCTGAGGTGGTGGAAATATAGTTCTATGGTACCTCAGGTCAGTAAAACATTCTGTGATATTTACTATAAAGTGCTGCTGAGTTAGTTTTGATTCCTACAATCCCACATGACAAAATAGAAGTGCCCAGGGGATTTTCTAGACTGGTAACCAGAACAAAGTGAAACACTGAGAACAATTTTTCTTGAAGGAAGACAAGACTTTATTATGTTTAGGTGTTTTCGGTAGGTGCTGTTAAGTGAGTTCCAACTCATAGCAACCGTCAGTACAATGGGAGGGCACCCCACCTGGTCTGGCCCCTCCTCACATCTGCTCCCGTATTGCAGCCACAGTGTTTATGAGTTATTAAAGAAAGATTTCTTAGTTGGAGTCAGTTAATATATGTGAGATATTTTCCATTTAATAGCTTTTTATAATACAGCCTCATTTTGGTTAGAACCTAAAAAAGAGAGTAGATGAAATTGATGTTATTTATTTTTCCTTGAAATGTTTTGATGGCATTGAGATACAAGTGTGTATTTTCTTCTTGCTGCAGTATCTTATAAGAAATATAGAACTCTTTGGAATTTCCCAGGTAGTGTTGAATAGGGTCCAGTATCATATCCCAGTAATGCATTGATAAATAATAAACGTAATTATCAAAGTTAATCCATTGGAGTTGTCAAATGACCTGTAGGTGAAAAATGTGACATATATTAGGTTATAAAAAGGTCTTTCAGGAAATACTTAGAATTAAATAATTTTATGATTTTGTTTTGTTCTATTTCCTTTCTAGATACATGAAATAAATGAAGTATAGAAGAATATTAAGGAAAAAAGAATAGCTGTCATATATTATGAAATTGAAATTGAGCATAAATTGGATTTGAATTCTTATAGCATTTGCTTTTTTTTAATCTAAATTTCCTAGGTAATAGAGAATTAAGATAGTTTTTAAAGATGGTGAAAGTGGGTTATTTAGGGCACCAATTAGGAGCATGTATCAGAGTGCTTTCAACTAGAAGTAACAACCCCCCTGATCAAGCTGAGTTTTAACAGGTAACAGATATTATCTCATATCAAAAGAAGTCCAAAGGTAGGGCCCGTTCTAGGGCCAGCTCTTACAGACTTAAGGCCTGACTCTCCTGATTCCCACAGCGTCATCGACAGAGGCTGCCTTCTACAGTAGGAGGCCTGGTGGGTAGTGGTTAGGTTTGGGCTATTCACTGCAAGGTCAGCAGTTCAGAACCACCAACCGCTCCACTGGAGAACGAAGAACCTTTCTAGAGAGTTATAGTCTTGGAAACCCACACAACCCAGTCATAATCTACTTGATGGCAGTGAGTTTCATCTTCTACATTCATGTACCCTGTTTCCGAAAATAAGACAGTGTCTTATATTAATTTTTGCTCCCAAAGATGCTCTACGTCTTATTTTCAGGGGATGTCTTATTTTTTTCATGAAGAAGAATATGGTACACATTTATTGATTATTGTTTTATTAGAATAGACCTCGCACTTCCTGTCTGCTCCAGCTGTGCTGCAGCTAACAGTGAGCTGGGCGGCGGCAGCGCCCTCTGCTACAGTCCAGAGTCCAGAGTTACGGTAGCTTTGGAGGGGCCTTGTTTTGGGGGAGGTCTTATTTTCGGGGGGATGCCTTATATTTCAGCTAGAGACAAAAATGTAAGTAGGTCTTCTTTTCGGGGGATGTCTTACTTTCGGGGAACCAGGGTATGTAGGGCAGCTACAATACTTTTAGGGAAATATGCTATTATGACAATGCCTGGTGATGGAAAACAACCATATCCTATTTTCTTAAGACGAGTAAACCTTTGCAGTGGTAACCCAGCACAGATCCTTCACAGCCTATTGGCCAAAGTTGGATCACATTCTTATTAAGAAACAAGTCATTGGCAAACTGGATGGGCCTCCTGTAATTACCAAAGGACAATCCGGAGCTCCCTGAGCTAGCAATGAACCCAGGCTCTCCCAGATCATCTGACCACGTACAGGACAATGGAAGACAGTGGGATGGAATCCAAGGTTGATTAGGGAGGAGGAGGAGGAGGAGGAGGAGGAGGGGGAGGAGGAATGACTGCGGGGTGACCAATCAACACAAGTGGATAGAGAACAGTTCCAAAGGGAGCTGAGTAAAGAACAACTGTGCAGAAGAAAGAACCTTCTGCAGTTCTGAGGTTGATGCTTTATTTCTAGATGGCCTCCAACACTAGTGTTTACTCCCCTCATAATCATAGCTTTTTAGAAATTTAAGTTGAACGGAGCCATCTGAGACTCAGATTGTGAAATGCCTTCTCACACAATCAGTGAATAGCAGAGCCAAGGGCAGGGTTTCTTGACTGTCAGTACAGGGTGTTGTTGGGTTTTGTTTTTTTTCCCATTCTTTATCCATGAGACTTCAGAACTGCTGGAACTGCTTTAAAAACGCATGGCAAGCATTCACCTCTTTTTTAATTAACAGTGCCGTATAATGCATTTATTTTGTTTGCTCAGCTACCTAGAAACTCAATCTAGTCTAGTCTATGCTTTAAAAAGCCTGCTGAGGCCCTTCGCCTGTTTTTATATTGTGTACAGAGCCACCAGTGGGTTCTTCTTCTTCCCATCTGATACGAATTCCACCCCCTTCTCTCATTCCATCATGACCAGCTTCCTGTTTCTAAATCGACTTTGTGGTCACCCCTCCCTCTTTGGGCCAGATCCTAGACTCTAGTTACTTAGACTGTGGTCTGTATTGTTCTGCTGAAGGCCTACTCAGCTGTGGCTATCCAATATAGCCACATTGTGTGGTGTATGTTCTCAAATTGGGTTCTGGAATTATTGTGGTAACTGCTGCATTGGGTGAGATTCAAAGTAATCATCAAAGTGTTGGAACAATTTCTCTGATTACAAGTTCTCTCCTGTTTTTACAACCCAGGAGAAGCTGCTCCTTGCACATATATGACATGCGGTATACTTTTAGCGTCTGATTTATGGCTTCCCACAAATATGGATGCTGATGATTTGCTTTGCATGCTTCTTCATTTCTAGGACAAGATGCTGACGAATATACAAAGCATCTTATGGATGTGTTCTACCTTAATAGCAACCCATGGGCTACGTAAAGGTGAGTGTTGGTGCCATTTAAAATCGAAAGCAGAGTACCGGGATGGAATGGCACCACAGAGAGTAAAAGATAACTTTTTGATCTAGTCAATGCAGAGAACTTTCAGCTAACACTATTATTTGGGTGAAAGTTGTAGTTTTAAATCAATCAATCAAAGCAAAGTAATAAATGAAATGCTAACGAAGCAAATGAAATTTCAATAACTTCTGAGATTACTTTCTAACTGTGGGTAAAAGCTCCAATCAGACATTGGGAAGACGCTTAAAATTCATCTTTTTCAGTGCTGTTTAATGCCTCTCTGATAAAAGAGGCATGCCCTTAAATAACTGAGTGTTTAGAGTCTGAAAAAAGTCAGAAAGATACAGAGAAGACCGACAACCAGGCTGTAGTCTTCTCTTTTTCAGAAATAAGTTGACAAGTTCGTAGATATTGTTTTTCTTAACTTTGAATTTTATATCCCCCTAATGAAGGTCCCAATTTTACAATGTATGCAGTCTGGAAGTGATGTTAAGGAAGTTGAATAGGTCTCCAGACTCAGTTTCCACTTTTTCCTCACACTCAGCCTAAGCTTCACTACCATAGAGGCAGCCCCGACTCATGGCAGCCCTTTAGGGCAGGGTGAGTACCTGCCTCCGTGAGTATAGGAGACTGTCACTGTGTACAGAACCAGAAAGTCCCCTCTTTGTGGTGGTTTTGAACTGCTGACCTTGTGGATTGCAGCCATTTCGTAACCACTACATCACCAGGGCTCCTAGCCAAAGCTTCAGATAATTTTAAACAATTGGCTATCGCATGTGTAGACTTTCATGTTTCCTTAGTTTTTCACATGCCATCCTTCCTTTCTCGAGTTCTACCTTCAACTTATTCTCTAACACTCAAATCCGACCATCACTCCTTTCTCTGTTCTTTCCTTCTTCCCTTTCCTCTCAGACCCCCATTTTCCTTCCTACCTGTCTCTTTTCTTTTCCTCTTTCCCCTTTAGTCCTCTTTCCCGCTGTTCTTTCCTGTCCTTCATATTCTGGGACTCTCAGGATACCACAGTGGAGAAATCATACATTGTTCTCATTTTCATTAAACGTAATCTTCTAGTTATAAGTGACAGGCAATTATGAGTAAGCAAAGATCCAAGTCAGGTAAGTTCAGATGCGTGAAAATAAAGCCAAGTGACATCACAGGGAATGGACTGGGTTGGGAAGAGACCGATCTTTCATCATCTAGCAGAGGGCCTGGCACATTGTCAGCATGTAATTACTTTACATGTTGAGTGAATCAGTGATTAATGAATACGTCAATGAATGTGTCTAGGAGCAACTAGATGGCTATCAGAATAGAGACTCTATTAACTACTATATGAATAGCATGCACGTCTTGAACATCTTCAGATAGTTAAGTGTCAGTGAAGATCACAGACCGGTCAGCACGACAGCATGCAGTGAAGAGGAGGACACGAAAGGAGTCTCAGAGAGAGGAGCTCTTGGGCGAGGAGCTAGTTTGGGTAGGCAGCAATGGAAAGAGGCTACTAATGAATAAAGGTCAGGGGAGAACCTGGAGGGCCAGAGGAGCCAGTCCTGCACTGTAAACAAAGTTTTGACTTCCTCTGAAGCAAAAAAACCAATCACGACAACAATAGGGGGTATAGGGAGAGGACCCCTGATGTGGTCGCTCTGAGACAGTATTTTGAAATGGTCATACTAGCTCATAATATTGAGTAATTTTACATAGTTTCCTTATATGATCTTAACTTTCTGATGAGGTGGGTTTTTTAGTATCCCTTTTAGTGTTCTTGTAATTCTGTTTTACAGAGGAGGAACCTGTAGCACAGAGAGACTTGGAGACATAGCTACTGTACAAGATCACACTGCTAGTTAGTGGTGGAGCTAAGAGTTGAACCCGGGCTGTTTGGTCCAGATCTTTATTATACTTTTCTCCAAGAGTCAAGTCCTTGGAAAGACGCAATTAATTTAGGGTTAATTTCAGAAGAATTTGTTTTGTTTTGTTTGTTATTTTCATAATAGAAGCCAAGTAGAAAATCTAAGTTTGAGCAGAATACAGTTGCTAAGTCCTTAAGGGACTCTCTAGCAGTCATCTGCTGAATCAGCAAGTGCTTTCATCTGAGAGTTTTCTGTGTCCTCCCCCACCCTAAGGTCCTCAAGAGACCAATGACTAGAATGGACAAACTGTATACCGATGATTGGTTTTATGCTAATACACAAAACGGTCTCTGCTTTAACAGTTCTCGTTCTATTAGGTCACAAACTGTCCTCATCAGTAATTCTCTAGCACCGCCTTGGTTATTCCACTATTCCTCTCATAATAAGATATGGAGTTATGCATAATCATTCATCATTGAACGAATGAGGGGGATAGTTACCATTTGACGGAGTGATAACATTCCATACTCTTCATCTGACATTTATTTAGCCAAGGTTTCTGGTTCTCTCTCTCTGTTTGGTCAAATTGTGCAGATGGAATTTACTTAGTTGGCAGAATTTCCTGACAGAGAATGGGGGGTAACTGATCATTCACTATTTAGATCTTTCTCCCCTACTGTACTCATTTAGACCCAACCCATCTGGTGGGAACAATGAGTTTTTGTTAGGATTCACTTGTATTGCTTTCATTGTCAGCGTTTCAAACAGGTTCCTGCAGGTAGCAGACCTTTTTCCTGTTGTTAGCATCATCTATAAAAATGATCCACTGAACTATGAAGTTTCCTTCTTAAAATATTTAGATTTAGTGAACTTGGTCCTTGTTATCCAGGGCACTAAGACCCATGATTTAATACACAAAAGATCTGACCACACAGTTTTTTGTTAATCTTGTTAAGACTGGGTTTTACATGAATATGAATTTATAGTTAACCTTACTTAATTAAATAATTGAAAGGTTTATTTCATTAAATCATTAGAAAGCTTATTTAATGAGCTAAATAAGCTTTACGTGTTCTTACATTTATAAACATCTGGGACCATAAACAGCCCTTGGGAAATGTGCCTGTTGACATAGTTTTTGTTCCGTGCATCTTCTGTAACTGCAATCATTTAACAAGGCGCAGCAATTCAGGGACAGTCTCATTGGATAGATTGGGCTGGATCTTGTGACTATCCGTACACATTTAAAGTTATCAAAAGGAAATCTGGTGAAGCTGCTTATTCTCCACGAAAGAGAACTATTTTATACATGGTGGAGAAAGCATTCAGGAAACAAGATCAAAAGATTTCATAGGACATAAGATGAACGCAAATTCCAGAGGTTCAGCCCACAGAGTCCTCACCGCTTTCCTTCCCAGGACGCCCACTCTGGCAACGGAGGTCAAGATCTCATTGCACCATCACCCTGTGCTGTCAGCATCTCCTTAACGGACTCGAATGTCAGCAATAAGAACCACTCACAGGTCCCTCTCAGGGAGCTGATGAACTTATTTATAAAATAGTCCAAGTCCTAAAGGATTTCCATTCAGATAGTAATTAAAGGATTACAGAAGTAATAGGGTCTAGATTCTGAAGAAGGAGCTCTGATGGAGCAGTGGTTACGCATTGGGCTGCTAACTGCAAAGGTGGAGGTTCAAACCTACCAGCTGCTCCACAAGAGAGAGATGAGGCTGTTCCTGTGATATATTCACAGTCACAGCAGCCTTGCTGAGCAGTTCTGCTCTGTTCTACAGGACCGCTAGGCGCCAGAACTGCCCCAAAGGCCGTGGGCTTGGGTCTGTGGGTGTGTGTAGATTCCGGGATGTCCGGGTAGTGCAAACAGCTAATGCACTCAAGTGCCAATCAAAAGGTTGGAGGATTGTGTCCACAAAGAGGCGCCTCAGAAGAAAGAGCTGGTGATCTACTTCCTATCAATCAGTCCCTGAAGAACCCTGTAGAGCACAGGTGGACTCTGGCACCTACCATGAGTTGGCATAGACTCTGGCACCTACCATGAGTTGGCATAGACTCTGGCAATTGGTTGGCTAGACTCTGAAAGGGACCTAAGACTGAAACTTCTTATGAGTTTAATGTAGGGATAAGGTAAGAATCCCAGAAATACCAAACCTAAAACATTATTTAATTATTCTTCTGACCTTATACTTTAGAATATTGATCTCAGTAACATTTTAAAGATTATTGTAGTGTGCAGCCAATAAATAGCACATTTAATTTTACTTTCATTTAATATTAACTGCCTTCAATCCTGTTTTAGACAAGCTATGTATAGATCAATAAAATGAGTTTTAAAAAATATCTCAGATAAATGACCATTATAACTTGGAGATAATTACAGGTCTCTGTTATAGATACACTAAGGAGTCCTAGTGGCACTGTTGGTTAAGCATCAGACTGTTATCTCTAAAGTCAGCAGTTCAAACCCACCCGCCTCTCTGCAGGAGAAAGATGAGTCTGTATGCACCTGTAAAGGTTTACACCTTTGGGCATCCCATAGTCGGTCACGGTGAATCAGATTGATGTAAGTGGGTAGGTTAGGCTCATAAACCCCCAACCAAATTCACTGCCATCAAGTCGTTTCTGACATCGGGCAACTGTGTAGGACATCGTGGAACTGCCCCTGTGGGTTTCTGAGACTGTGACTCTTTGCGGGAGTCTCATTTATCTCCTGCGGAGCAGCTGCTAGTTTTGAACTGCTGACTTTGTGGTTAATAGGCCAATGTGTAACCACTACCATACCAGGACTCAGAGACACACTCAATATAATATGGCATTAATTATTTTTAATTTATTTGTGCTAAGTGTAAGATTTTCTAGGGAAGTCGTTTGAAGTTAAATTTAAATCATTAGCCAGAGAGAGTTTTTTTTTTCATGGAGCATAATATCTCTACAATAGCTTTTTACAATTCCCCAAATGACTTATCTGTATGGGTCTCTAGTGAAGCTATTTGGTTTCACATGCATATCTATACTGAGGTGTTAGAAACACATCACTCTCTAAATTAAAAAGCTATTATATCACTCCTTAGTGGTTACTGTTAACTTGTTGACCATATTTTTATCAAGCAGGATTTGCTTATGCATTAATAGTAATTCATATTCTTATTACACAGTTTTTTTTCTAGCTTAGTCAGTAGGCCCCTGAGGCAGGAGGATGGATTTTTAGGAGTAGAGGAACATTTCTTTGGCGTGTAATGATGTTGGCTGGTCGTCAGTGTTTCCTTGACCATGTTTCAGGAGAGCTAGGTGGACGGTGGACAACTTGGCCCTCAGGAGATAATTCAGTGCAAAGTAGTTGCAGCTGGATTTGCCATTATGATGAAAGCTTTGGTTCAAATACAGACCCAAGAACATCCTTTAAGTGTTAGTTTTACTCCAGCTCCACTCCAGGAAAAGAAAGCACCTTTTACAAAAATTCTCACTCCCTTCTTTGAATTTATTTCCATTTCCTCTTAGGTAAGGTGGGACGTCTCTTAAACGTTTTTCATCCTCTGACATGTAGACCTAATTTTCACCATTCCATTGCTTCTTATCCTTCTCCCCTTGATTGCCTTCTCATGCTTCTTTATTTTATCACAGATGTTGTTCATGCGCTGCACTATTACAAATGCTTTAAAACAGATGATGTACGCACAAGTATATTCAGCACATACAAGGAACATTATTAATCCCTGTCTTTGATACAAAACATTGCAGGGGATTTTCTGTATGTGGAGTCCTGGTTACTTGTTGGGCTGCTGAGAGGTCAGTGGTCTGAAGCCACCAAGTGGTGTATTCAGCATTCTATTCCTGTAAATAGTGTCAGAAACCTAGATCTGCCCTGACCTATGGGGTTGCCATCATGAGTCGGAATTGGCTCTCTGGCAGTGAGTTAGACTTAGTTATTCTCTGTATGTAAATCACTTCTAATTGTTTTGCATATTGAAAAGATAAGCCAAACCGTTGTCAAGGATTTTTTTGTCCATTCATGTGTCCAATGCATTGCGTTTGCTTGTTTCATTTTTAAAGGCTTAATTCTGGTGTTTTCTGTTTCCTCTAGTCAATGCAGAAAAACAGGCCGCTGTTAAGGGCTCCCTTTCTGCCAAAGTCAGCCTGCCTTGTCATTTTTCAACCATGCCTACTTTACCACCCAGTTACAGCGCAACCAGTGAATTTCTTCGCATCAAATGGTCTAAGATTGAAGTGGACAAAAGTGGGAAGGATTTAAAGGAGACTACTGTTCTAGTGGCCCAAAATGGGAACATCAAGATTGGCCAGGACTACAAAGGGAGAGTTTCTGTGCCGACACATCCTGACAACGTGGGTGATGCCTCACTCACGGTGGTCAAGCTCCGCGCAAGTGACGCGGGCCTTTACCGCTGCGACGTCATGTATGGGATTGAAGATACCCAAGACACCGTGTCCCTGGTTGTGGAAGGTAAGGCATTTGGCATCTGTAAGATGGTAGGATAGCATGATGTCTGGCTCAGAAGTATTGTGAAAGAGCATGAACAATGTATGTGGGGTTGGTGCAGGTAGGACCCCCTACCGCTACCACCCTATGAAAGCCAATGCCTTTCACCAAGTGGGAGGCATTTGTTATTTGGATTGTGATTTTTTAAGAAAATAGGCTGATTGATTAAATTTAGAATTTAGTTGTTCTTATGAATTATAGAATCTATTTGGGCTCAGAATGACTCTATTTGACCCCCTAAAACTGCCCATAGGGTCTCTAGGCTGTAATCTTTACAGGTGCAGAGCACCCAGTCTTTCCTTCTTCTGCACTTTTGTCAGATTTGAACCAACAGTTACATTAGCAACTAAACTCTTGACCTTTGTACTACCAGAACGCCTTAGTATGTCATTGTTGTGTCTGAGTATACTGTAAATAATGCATACCTCACACCATGGTCAACAGTTCAACACTCAGTGTCTAAGTGTGGACATCTATTGAGGGCTACTCTTCAAAACTGATCTTTATGTCATTTAGTATCTATTGACCTACTTGAGGAGGCCTGGTGGCGCAGTGGTTACGCGTTGGGCTGCTACCTGCAAGGTTGGCAGTGTGAAACCACCAGCACTCTGAGGGAGGAAGACAGGACTTTCTATTCTAGGACTCAGTTACAGTCTTGGACACTTGCAGGGGCAGATTTTTTATTTACTTACTTTCCCCCTTGTTTTCTGACTCTTTTCATATAATTATGAAAATCTTTGTGTTTGCATTTAGACAATACAAATTCTGTCTTCTATTGAAAAAATAAGGTACTTAATAAGTACTGCAGTAAAATACCAATACTAAATAATTATTGAATTGGATCCAAACATTGGATCAACAGAGAAATTAGTGAAATGTTTTAAAAGGCTAATGCAGTGGTTGTTATTCATTAAGTCTTGCAAAAAGACATTTGTTTTATCCCTTCAGTAGTAGTTTAGATGTCATTTGAATTTAGCTTCGGAGACAAAGCAAAGAAGAATGGTTTTAATTGGGTACACAGCTCTTGGACAGATATTATTTTGGCAAGTTATCAAGCAAAACTCTAATGCCCTGACATGATGGGACAGCTTTTCCTCCAACCTTCCACTTTCCTACAGAAAGAAGTACATGGGGATTTATTAAAAATCTTTTTTCTGTGGCCAAAAGGGAGCATGCTGAATTCCAGATGCAACAAATCAACTTTCTGAACATCCTTGTGCATACAGCTTCTTTTGTTTCCTTTTCCAAGTCTGTTTGTATGTTGTTTGGGTATCCATGAAACATCCGGAAATAACCCTTTTTATTATTTACTTTAGTTGACCTCAAATTACTCTGCTGTAATCTCTTTGATGATATTACATGTATTATATATACATACATAATATGTATTCCAAAAGGAGGTAAAGGACTTCTTAAAAATTTTGCTATTAAAGAATTAGCAATGGATTTGCCCCTTGCCCCTCTGAAACAATGCAAATCCTCCACTAAGCTCCTTAGCCCCATGAGGTCTTCAACTGATCTTAACCATTATACATACTTACATCCCTGTGTTGGTCATGGCGGCTCATTTATGACCTCTTCTTACCTCCAAACTTCAGGGCATGTGTAGGACTTTTAATCACCAGGAAGATTATTTGAAACCTTGATCAGTGGAAGTCTAATTTAAAACTATCCAAATGATTGCTTAGGTCTCAGAGATTATAATCGGCCATCTCTCATACTTACCAGCTAGATACTTCCTGGCAATTTCGTAAAAGTCCTACAAAGGGACATATTTTCTGGAAGACAACTGATGAGGTTTTTCCAAGGGTTCTCTTTTAGGCAGAACAACTTAAAAATGGGAAATTTAATGTCTTTGTCAGTGAGTCTTCTCGGTACCAGTGTAGGTCTTGCTCTACTGACCTTGAGCCAAACCCCAAACCAAACGCGCTGCCATCAGGTTGATTCTCACTCAAAGCCACCCCCTGAGACAGGGTACTTATCTGTGAGCTGAGGGGTCCATTCCCTAGAGTTACTTTATTGGCACACACCAGTCTTAAAAAAATAGATCATGAAAGGAAGATGATATGGCAAATAATCTTAAAGATAGAAGCCAAACTGTTGGGCTGCAATCCTCATGGCCGGCAGTTGGAAACCACCAGCAGCTCCTCGGGAGACAGCTGGGCTTTTTAGTCTCATAACCAGTTACAGGCTTGGAAATCTACAGGGGGTCACTATGAGTTAGCTCTGAGTTGATGGCAGTGAGAATTAAAGGGAATAGGTGTTCTTGAAGACACAGAGTTAAGGGAGCCAGAAAACGGACTCCCTTACTTCATGACTTGAAAAGCATGGCTGTTACTTTAAGGACTCACGTGGCCCTACAATAAGCTATGGTATTTCAATTACCACAAACCCATGTGAAAATTGGACCCTGATCCAAGAAGAGCAAAGAAGAATTTCACTTATGAAGCTGGAAAAGAATCTTGAAAGTACCATGGACTACCAAAAGAACAAACATCTGTCCTGGAAAAAATACGGCCAGAATGTTCCTGAGGAGCAAGGGTGGCGAGACTTCATCTCATGAACTTTGCATGTGGAGAGAAGGGTATCGTGCTTGGTAAAGCCGAAGGGCAGGGAGAAAGAGGAAGAGCTCAATGAGATGGATTGACACAGGGGCTGCAATGTTGGACTCAAACATCAACACAATTGTGAGGGTAGAACAGGACCGGGCAGTGTTTTGTTCTGTTTCACACGGTGAGGGTATGAGTCAGCGCTGTCTCAATGGGTCCTAACAACAATAAACTTCATGATACTGCCCAGGGGCAAGTGAAGAGAAACGTGAAACATCCACTTGTACCATGTAAACATCGACTAGCATCTCTTCCTGAAAGCATACAATGTTGAGATAGTTACTTCCTGAGGAAATTGCTGTTGCTGTGATGTGCTGTCCAGCAGCTTCCAACTCATCCCAGCCGCATGTACAACAGAACCCAGCACTGCCTGAGCCTACCCACTCCCCCATTGTTCTTATGGTTGAGCTCCCTGGGGCAGCCACGGTGTCAGTCCATCTCATAGAAGACCTTTCTCCTTTTGGCTGCCCCTCCACTTTACCAAGCATGATGTCTTTCCCTAGGGACTGGGTCTCTCCTGACACCATGCCCAGAGCAGGTGAGAAGAAGTCTTGTCATCTTTGCTTCTAATGAACATTCTGGCTGTACGTCTTCCAAGACAGAGTTTTTTGTTCTTTGGAAGTCTTTGGTACCTTCAGTATTCTTCACCAGCACCACAAGTCAAATGTATCAATTCTTTGGTCTTCCTTATTCAGTGTTCAGATTTCACGTAACCGCTACACCACCAGGGCTCCTAAGCCCTTCAAGTGTCCAATGATTCTATGACAAATATTGCTTGTGATTAGGACATCTACCTACCACTGAGTATCCAGTGTCTGAAATCCCCTTTTGGCTTGTTTACATGCTAGTAAAAGTCCCAGTTAAGCAACTTTCCTTTGCAAAGGATAGGCATTGTGGTGTTCTTCAAATCACCTGAAGGTGCTTTTGCATAATTGTGGCTTTCTTGAATAAAAAAGATTTTTTTTTTAGGTGAACTGAAGACTCCAAGTCCATTTTCATTTTACTCCCCCCACCCCACGCCCACCCACAGCCACTCGGGTCACTATTTTGTCTTGAGGAATAAGGAATCTGGGGGATTATTTTTGGTTTTTATTTTATTTGTTTAGCTTAAACTTTACTTTTGTTTCTTAAAGACAGATACTGTATACATTGACACATCCCATCTCAAGAAAGAAATCAACAATAGCCTGTTAAACCCTTCACGTATGCGGTTCTCTTTCTCCTCATCCTTCTTCCTTGAGTCCAAAAGCCTTATCTCAAATATATACAACTATGTCTTGAGGCTCTCGCTATTTTTCTAATGAACTTGATGTAGCCTACCAGTCAGAACTTTTACCTATGGTGACAAATGCCAGCAGGCTCCTCATTGCTTGCTGCTTGTCTTTGCAGGCGTGGTGTTTCATTACCGGGCTTCGACCAGCAGGTACACTCTGAATTTGGAGCAAGCCAAGGAGACGTGTTTAAGTGTTGGGGCAGTCATAGCCACACCGGAGCAGCTGCAGGCCGCCTATGAAGATGGGTTTGAGCAGTGTGATGCAGGCTGGCTGGCTGACCAGACCGTTCGGTGAGAGGGCTGCGGTCCACAGATGTTCACACCTGCATGTGGGAGGAACGTGTCACTTAGTAGTCATTTCTTTCCCCAGATACCCCATTCGTATACCCCGAGAAGGCTGTTACGGAGATAAGAATGGGAAGGAAGGGATCAGGACCTACGGAATCCGTTCTCCTCTTGAGACTTATGATGTGTACTGCTACGTGGATCATCTGGATGGTAAGGCCTTTAGAGTTCTACCGGTTCATTCGCAGTCAGAAGACCGAGGAGAGGTACCTTGGAATGTTAGCCTATCTTCCTGTTGGTTTGGATTCCAAAGAGCGACTTTGAGTCTCCATGACCTGGCGGATGTGTGGTCAGGAGAGGGAGGGGTGTGTCCATGGCTCTGCAGGTTAGAAATGTGCTCTAGTGAAAGGTAGGTTTTCTTACTATCGCGCGGCTCTTGGCCTGTTTCCTGGACACCTCAAGAGCATTAAGATTAGAACACTGGAATAGGGTGGTATCTAGTCTTGTGAAAATGTCAGGTCGTATTCCTGAGATAACAAACCCCTAGGAAACCAAGCATTGACCTTGGCAATAAAAAAAATTAAATACTCCAAAAGCTCAAAGGAATCATGCTGTAAACTAGCCAGGTGATATTTTAATGTTTCAGATCTCTTTGTGTTTATTTCACTGTACTAATAGGCAAGCCTTTGAATCTTTCATTCATTCAACCAATCAACACTAAAAGAACACCCGACATGTGACAGGTACTGCACTGGTCATCAGGAGGATGAAGCCAGTACCCTGCAGCCCTTGGTTTAAAGGTGCTTTGGGTCTGGTTGATCTGCACCATCCTTCCTCACTCAGTGTGGGTTAGAGATTCTTAAAGTGAGACGTTTGACTTTAAGAGTGCCAGCATTATCTAATGAAGTCTTGTTATAAAAATGCAGGGGAAGGAGATGTTTGGTACCTTTGAACTGGAGTGTCATTTGTGTTAACAACCATCATAGAGGCCTACCTGCAAACATAAAAAAAAGAGAGCTTATAATTTCATTTTTTGAGGGCTAACAGAAGAAGAATGCATTCTTGTTACTAAGGTAAAAATCGGCAGGTTGGACTCGATCATTTCTGTGGTCCCTTTCAACAATCCTGTGAGTTTGTGATTCTTTGAATTGAATAATCAACTTCAGAGACTGAGAGAGAGTAAGCGGTTTATATATTTCTACTACTGTTACTACATATAAATAGGAAGGTCTGCTTCCAAGAAGCTCACTTAGTGTATGTTTTCCTAGCGTCTTAGCATTCTTCTTGTCAGTACCCTGTAAGACTGCGAAGTGTATTTTGTAAAGCCAACTTGACATTAGCAATTCCAATTTTTATGTAGTGTCAAAGGGACCACAGATGCAAAAGCTGAGCTGTGGGTGACATTGACATAGATGCAGAACTTTTATCTTCCCTTTATGGCAAGCACTGCTGTGTTGTTTTTTAAATATCGGAGAGTTGCAGGAGAATGTGGTTCTAAGAAATGCATTTGGCTATTGCTACTTCTATAATGTTGAAGCTCGCATCTATCATTACTGCATTAATTTAGAATAATATACATGTGAGTGATAGTTACAAAAAAATCTGGAATGTTGGTAATATTGGAACTTGACCAGAGGTATTTTGTGGAATTATATAAGATCAAACTACCTATAAGATCTTTGGTAAATGTAATTGAAATGGTGCAGATCCAAATATTAAGATATATTCGTAAGTCTTGGTGGAAAGACAGGTGCCTGTGCCCACTAAGTGCCCATGATGCTATTAGCACGTGAGCCCTATAGGTCCTCCGTGTGTCTGTCTCTCAGTCTTCTCCAGATGGAGCAACAGCAACCCCCACTCTCTTAGACTACACATTCCCCAACTCTCAGAGAATTCCTCCAAGCTCAGAGAAGTCTTTGTGGGTTTTCAGCTTCTGCAGAAGTGCTAGAAATTCCACACCCTCTCCCAGGCTCCTTTGAAGTTCTTTAGACAGGTTTAGGCGGTACAAGTCTGATAGACACCTTGCCATACTGCACCCACTAGCTATTTGGAGCTGGCTCCCCACAATCTGCTCAGAGTAGCAGAGAACTGGGCTCTGTCAGAATAGTAGCATGTATTTGTCATCCACACTGAGAAGAGGTTTAATAGTTGACAGAGGCTCTTCTCCACTTCCATAAACCTAGTCACTGCTAAAGCAATTGTGCTGTGTGCAATTCATTTCTGCTCCAAGTTTATCCAGTTGTATTTCATATAATTAGTTAGTATCCGTGCCCCATATATTTGATGAATGAAACCTGTAATGTGGAATACAGTATACTTTTAGTTGGGGCAGTTGTGCAATTGTGTTTGAGCCCATCAGGTGTGGCATATCAGAGTTGATGGAGAAATAGAAAAGCATCCGTGCAAATACTATTTCAGGAAATGACAGATTTATGTGCAAACTAGGCTTTTGAGTTAGTTAATTGTGCCAGTCTGGCCGATAATCACATGTGGGGCTAATTGAGAAGGGGAGGGATAAATGGGTGGTGAACCTCGCCTTTCTAGTTCTAGGGTCTCTTGCTTTGTGATGGTCGCACCAGGGTGCAGCTGCCTGAGCAGTTCCTTGCTTCAGCTTGCAAGATTGACTTCCTACAAGACATCCCCAAGGAGAAGCTACATGGACCTATCCCGATGCAGCCCTGGGTGCTGGAGCAGCCGTGTGGAGACCCCTGCTAGTGCTGAGATGCTTGTTCATTCACTGACTCAGCTTTCCTCCTGCAGTCGGCATCATTGCCTCTGTTTTGTGAGGTGGAGGACTTTGTGGACTGGTGTTGGGTTAATGGATTAATTTTGGACTTGTGGGCTTGGGCAGCATTGGGTTGGGATGTTTTCGTGATGCACATTTTCTTTACATAGAACTCTCTTATACATGAGTTGCTGTGGATTTGTTTCTCTAAAGTACCTAGACTAATTCAGCTTTTATTTGTTCTCTTGAGGAATCTAGATACCTCTGGAGCATATTCAGTGGTGTTCACGATGACAGAGTGCCATAACACTTTCACTTTCTGTGAGTTGGTCTTTGGATTAACTTTGGACTAACTTTGGACAAAATCCATAACTTTGGACTCTGGTTGTTTACTCTTTGATTTGCAATTTGAGGGTCTTGAGGATTAAAGGGAGTTACCCGTGTCCTAGAAGCTGCTAATGTGCTTAGATGTTGACGTTTGGGCAGTTCTGTCCACCTGGGGTACTACAGAAGAAAGGTTTGGCTGTCTGCTTCTGAAAGTTAGCTCTTGAAAGCCCATTGGGGCCCAGTTCTACCCTGACATTCAGGAGGTCGCCAGGAGTTGGAATCAACTCAATGGCAGTGCTTTTCTTTCTTTGGTTTGGAGATTGGAGGCTGATGACATAAGAGGAAGATCACAAAATCACTCTTATGAGGGCATTCTCAGCCCTTTGCTGAAGCATGTGTGCCTTTGATAGGAAGCCCAAGGGTTTCTGTAGAATGATAAAAATTCTTGTGGACAGTTGACTATAAAATTATATCTAGTATCTTAAGAGCCACATTGGTAAAAGGTTTCTTTAGGAGACGTTCATTGTGATATTTATGGACATCATAGTTCTCACCTCTACTTCCTCATCGTTTGAGAGCCACGTGAGTGTATAAGAGGTGTGGGAGTAGTCAGGATGAGACCTGCTGATCCGATGGAATATTGACACAGAAGTCAGAGCCAAAGTGCAGTTGCTTTAAGGTCAGCAACTGTATTAGCACTGCAGGGAAGAAAGTCAGCTGACATAAAATGAAACTAATAAAGAGGAGTTAACTTTGCTTTCATTTGTTTATTGTGGAATATATAAACAGTTGACAGAATGCCACCCTTGTCTGTTCTTGTGTTTGCTGAGGTCACATTCACCCTGACAGATGTGTTTCTCTGAACAATTCAAACAATTACACTAAATTACATCCAGCCACTCCAAGGGAAAAGCAAAACGAGACAAAACGACATTGCTTGTTCTCCTAAGGTGGTGATTATAACTCAGTTATTCTTATGCTTATTATATTCAAACTTTTGTTCTTTAAAAACCCAAGTAGTGTAAGAGAATTACCCTAGCTATATTCACTAGCAAGCATTTCAATATAATTTGTGTTCTTAGAAATGGTCTAAAAGTTTTGGAGGTCTATTATCCATGATTCATTAGTAGAACCTTATTATTATTAAGTTTATAGCATTGGGATTCTTAAATATGGCTCTTGATTTTATGATTCATGAAATCATTCTTTTAGGAAATGTAATGTGTGTGTCCCAGGAAGGTAGATTGGAAAACATTAATTGCTTAGATTAAAAGTGAAATGATGAAATGTTTCTGAAAAATGGGTAGAGAAATTCTGATTATATAGAGTAGTAAAAACAAAGTTGAAGGTCTGAGGGGTGGGCCCCAATCCCAACTAAGTGGACAGACCCCCTCTTCTCCACAGAAGAATTCACTTCAGAGGACAGCACTGAATCTGCATATTGGGGAGAGTGTCATGTCTGATCAGAGCACACAGGAGCAAATGAAGGGGGAGGAAGAGAGAGTGGAACACACCCTGACCCACCAAGCCTTGAGGATGATATCCCTGCTCAGAGCAGCCAAAGCACAGAGGGGAACATAGGGCCGGCCCTGCTATGAGACACGACTTCCCTCACTGACCCATAACCCTATGGGGGACAACACTAGATACACA